TTTTTTTTGTAAAAGTACTTTTGATACAGCCCATGTTGAATCAATTTTTTTTGGTATACGAAGACCATCACGTTCAATATCTTTATCCATAATAGATTCTGTCATTGGTTGTTTAGTTAATTTTTGTTTTGTGGTTGATGGTATTGAAGATGTAGCTATTGGTAATTTTTTTGTTAATAAATTAATATTATCTGTTGAAAATTGACCACTCATGCCAAGAGTTTTTTTAGCTAAATCTCTAAAGAAAGAAGAGAAGTATAATTACTTTTTTTTCGAAATTTTAATTAGAAAATTTTACCTAGCAAGACCTGGAATACATTTGCCAACAAAGGTACAAAGAAATGGTTGTACATGAAATTGTGATACAATTATAGCAACTGCTAAACGTGATGTACAAAATGCTGTTGGTGCATATGTTACAGTTATATTTGTAACATTTGCTTTCTCAATGGTACCTTCTACTGGTTCGATAGTCAACGCTGGATCTTGACTAAGCATTTCAATCCGATATTGAAATTCAATGGGTGCTCCTGATTGAAATGAAAATGTTTTTGTTGCACTATTTTAAAATATTTTTATTTAGTTAGATATATGAATAAAATAACACCTACATACACTTGTCCAATAGGTGTATTGGCAAATTGATATGAATTTGGTAAAATTCCATCAAGTAATATTATTGGATATGCATGTATTGGTACAATTAAATGATGATCACGTTCAGGTGTATGTATACGTATAGCATCATGATAATATTGCCATTGTGTTGGTTTAAAGTAGATTTTAACATGTATAGAAAAACCTGTGACAAGACGTTGTGGTTTTTTATAATCAATTTGAAAAAATGATGTTTGTGGTGGAATAATATCAATACGTAAAACTTCAGATGAACGATTTAATATATGTATTTCACGTGTATGAATTTGATTTAATTCGAATCCATCGAAATGTATTTCATGTGGTGTTACTTCAATTAATTTATTACCTTTTAATTTAACAAAAAGTTCTAAGAAATTAATAAAAAGAAAAAAAATGTCAAAGTAAAAATGGTAAATATATTTTTGTTTTTTACTAGAATTTAAAAGATGATTGGGTACTGGAGGTCGATCTCGTTCAGGTTGAGCAACAAGAATCTCTAATGCTTTTCGTTTCGCATCCATAGCTTCATCACTTATTGGTGGTGCCATTCCATATAAGGATGAAGATTGAGATTCTAGGACTATATCAGTCATTTTTCTTTTCTTTTTTTTTCTAAACCTTCTATTAACATATTATTAAATTAAACCATTTGATTTCATCAATGTTAAAGGTTTGCTAAGCAACAATTTTTTGTAAAAGTGACATCTACTTGAAGAAAAACAATCGAATTTTAATTAAAAAGAATAAAATTTGATCAAATGAAGTTTTATTTATTGAAATAAATTATTAAATGAATAGAATAGATTATTTTTAAATTAATAAATATTGTTGTCATGAGACAATATAAAACGTAAGTTGAATATGTCCGCAAGAAGCCGTAATATCAAATAAAATATTCTTTCTCTTTTTCTTTTTCTTTCTTTCTATCTGCCAATTTCTTTTTCCTATAATTATTCTTGAAAATACTACTTGTAAATTTTTATTTATTCAACATCCGCTCTTCTTTATGCTTTTCGTGTTTTTATTAAGGTATAAGTATTTGACGACATTAAAACAAAGAAGAAAAATATCTATATACAGATTATGATTGTAGAAAATAATAATGGCTGCGGTCACAAGTACATTTTCATCTTATGATCGATCAGTTCCATCAATGTCGGATAGTTCAACACAGAATCGCCAGCTTCGTAATAATAATAATACGAATTCAACAATAATACGACCTGGTCAACATTTAGATGGTTTATTTTTTATATCGAATTTCTATTTTCTTTTTTTTTTCTAAAATAAATTTTTAATAATTTAGATGCAGATTTATTGACTTTCAATCGACAGTATGCAAATATTGGTTTAAGAGACGATAATATAATGTCAAATTCAGCTGATAATTTATCACAACTTGTTGATCCTCTCCCTTTTGGATTTCATCCTTCTGATCCAGGATTTAATGATCCAAGTGATGGTAAAATAAAAAAATAATTCTTCTACTTTTTTTTTCTTTCAAAAAAAATAATATTTATTTTATTTTAAAATAGATGAATTACATTTTGACGATGGAAATAATTTTGATTATGAAGTTGCTATTCAAGAAAGACTTAAAAGAGCTAATGAAGAATTTCAACATGATGAAACACCAGCCGAATTAAAACATCGACAACGTGTTTCATTTGATTCTGTTGTTAAAGCAGTTGACATTGTTCAAGAACCAGAAGTTGATGATAATACAAATCGTGTAAGATTTATTCATATATTATATGTTTTATTAAATAATAGAGAAATTTTTAATGTCTTCCAAATAGAATAAAATTTATGATTAGAATTTTTGATTCAAACACAAGAGAAAGACATCAAAGTCTAAACATACTTATGATTTCAGTATAATAAAAGAACGCTCATTTCTTATGAGAATAAATCTATTTATCGTAGAAAAAAATCAAGAATGTCAAATTTCGGTTATCTAATTTTCAAATGATTTCTTAGCTAAACCACCTGTTTCACCTGTTGCGGAAGAATCAGCAATAAATGCTACTAATTCACAAAAAGAAAGTAATCCACATGAATATACTGTACCACTTAATGATACACAACCAAAAGAGGGTCCAACATTGTTAGAACAATTGAAAGCGATGCAATTTCATGGCGGTCCCCCAGCAGGTGACCGACGACAAGCAGCAAATACAAAGACAACTAATGATTCATCGACACGAGAAGGTATTGATTTATAAGAGTACATGAAAAAGAATAACAGTAGTCTAATTTCTTAACTATACGATATCAATCTCTTCCTGTCTTATCTATTATTTATTTTTCGAACAGTTGTCAAAAAACGTTTACTTGGATATTCATCATTTTTCTTTTATAACTTATTGCTATTTGAATCATTCTAATATTCCTATTATGTAATATTATATTTTTATTTAGATAATGAATCAACGTCAAAAGTAAGGTCAAATGACACTAACGCTACGCAAAAGACTTCTGATATGACAACAAAAGAATCATCATCGCCACAAAGATCGATGGTTGTTTCTATTAATGGTGGATTTGAAATCCAAAATGAAGATGATTATACAGCTAAACATTTAAAAGAAAAACAACAATCGCAGTCAGATGATGGTGATAACGATAATAAATCGACCATAAAAGACTCAAAAGTTACACACACATCAACAGAATCCAAACAAAACTCATTGAAACCTGAAGCATCTCGTCATCCTCCTGCATCACCGAGTAGGCCGAAGTCATCAGACACGACGAAACGATCTGATAATAATTCAACATCAAAATCATTGTCTTATAATAGAAATAACTCATCAACAAATAATCAGCAAAGAACAAAAAGGTATATATGATAAATATATATACAATTAAATTCTTAATATCTTTTGTTTTAGTGCGACTGTTTCAAAATCTATAGAATCATTTATAAATAAGTGAGAATAAGTTTTTCTTCTATTACATATTTACTTGTAAATATATTTATTTAAAAAAAAGGCCATGCAGTATCGACTTTGATGAATTGAATCGAAAAGCAGCTGAAAAAAAACGGGCAGAGATGAAAGAAGAACGTCGTAAGAAAGAAGAGGTAAGTTAAATAAAAAAACGAATTGTTTTATTTAATTAAGATTAGTTATCTCAAGTCATAACGAAACATAGGAAAAGAGAGTTTTAATTCGAAGTTAAAGAAAACGAAAAGTTTACACTAAGCATAAAGGTAAAAATAGTTTCTTAATAATCTAACAAATTATCTTATGCTTAAAAATAGGATTATGACTCGTACCAAGTATTTGTCAACTGAGAGAATCAGTCCAAAGCTCTGCAATAATACTAACTGCGCATGATCGAAATATAATGATTATTCTATAACTTGATAACAATCTCTAAGATATTCTTAGAATTTATGATAGTTTTATTTTACAAAAAACTTTCAAGATTAATTAAATGTCATGTTTTAATATATAGGCTGACGCAAAACGAAAAGAAGAATTAGCAAGAGCGAAGGAAAAATTCGAACAATGGGTACAGGATAAAGATGCTGAACGTAGACGACTCAACGAAGAAAAACGTATGGAAAAAGAAGAACAAGAAGTAAAAATTATTGGTTTTATAAAAAGCAATTTTCTATATATCGTATTTATTTTTTAATATATAGGCTCGTGAATTACAATGTCAAAAAGAATTAGGAGAATTAAGAGAGAAAAAATATAAAGAATGGATTGAACGTAAAAATCGAGAAGTAACAATGGCAAATGAATTTAAAAAATTACAAGCGGATGAAGAAGAACAGATGTCCGGTGGATCATCTTCATCAATTCATAATCCTAATAAACAAAATGATCATCGAGCATTTCGTCGGTAAGATTTAATCAAATTATGTGACAGTTGATTATAGAAAAATAAAACTATTCTGTAATATTCATTTGACGAAAGTTTATCAAGAACTTATTTATAATTTTTACATTTTCATAGTATTTAATACCAAAAGAAGCCTTGTAATCATTTTTGATGTGAGCAATGAAACAGATTGTTTACATTGAATGATATCTGTAGTACTTTATTGTACATTTCAATTATTTTTATATCGTTTGACTGTCATCTCATGTTTAATATGCTTAGATAGACATCCACATTTTGGACAAAAATCGACCTTTCTTATCAAATTCTATGAGAATAAGAAAATTACAAACAAGTTCTTGATGAATTTCTCATCGATAAGTTTTCATTAGATGAAAATCATTAATTAATATTGAAAAAAAGTGTTTTTTTTCCTACGTTTTTCAAGTCAATTCCGACACATATATATTGTCTTTATCTATTATATATAGTTGGCTTCGTCGAAAATATGAACAATCAAAAGAAGAAAAACGACAATTACGTCTTGAAACTCGACGTTTACGTCAACATCAGCGTCGTTCAATAAAACGACATCAACTACAACAAGATCTTCAATTAGCAAAATCATTTGGATACACATGATATTCTTCTATGCATTATTTTAATCTCTTCTAAGCAACAAAATTATTCAATTGATCTATTTTTGTTTCTTCATCTTTTTCTTCAATCTTTTTTTTTGTACACAGAAAAAAAAAAGAGAACGAACATTTTGAATATTTTCATCTTTATTTATATAATTTTGTAGAATACATAGACCTCATTATCAGTAGTGTACGTAGACATATTAAGAAAAAGAGACGAAAAAAACCGCAACATCACATACTTATCTATATATATCGATAAATACATCGAGCGGAACGTTAAAAGAAAAAAATGCAAGAGCAAAAAAATGCAAAAAATTTATTATGACGCCTCCGTTTTGTTACCATATACGTATCTTTTTCTCTTTCTATAGGAAATCACATAAAATCAAAGGCAAAGAAAAAAAAGTGACTGAAAGATAGAAAAGATATTTCATCAAATGTCATATGAATACATTTCAGTAGAAATTTGTACACATTTTTGTTCACTTATCTTTTATAATAAAACTTCACAATCGTTATCAATTAAATCTGTACTCAACAATTTATCATATTTTAAAATCTAGAACGATACAAAAATATTTTCCAAGTCAAGGTAATGAAATGTATAAATATTATCGTGAGTACTATATTTAAGAAAGATAAAACAATTTGTAGAAGAAAAGAAAATGATAGCTTTCTATTTTCAGTCTTACATTTATAAATAGATATATATATATATATAGATATATGTATACTATAAATAACCAAATGAATAAATTCGTAACGTAATGATGAAAATAGCTTATGAAATAATTATAACAGGACACAAGAAGTAACCATATGGACCTGTTTTCGTATATATTTTTAGTAAATTGATGCTATAATAATTAATTATCGTTCTACAAACCTTGAAATAAAAGAGTGTATGACTCAAATTATAATTTCTTTTTTGGACAAAAACAAAAACATAGCACTAATTATTGATTTAAATTAACAAAAATAGTTTTCATTTTCTTCCTATCGATCTTTGTTACTATATATTATATTTATAACTCAAGGCTAACATAATAAACATATGAGAAATATATTTTTGATATCGTTTTTACCTTTATGATAGATATAATGAGTATCTTGATCGTCATCATTCACATTATCAATGTTATTTGTCAACGTTGAGCTATGGATACGAGAAGGAGAAAAGAAAAACCCACATATTTTGACTATGTTCCAAGGCTATTTTTTCAATCAGTTCTGATTTTTTTTTCGGATTCACCTGCTAATAAACAGACACATTAGGTAGCTAAAGGTAGTTTGAGCGTTTGATATGCATTCCTTTCTTTTTTTTTTCTTTTTTAAAAATGTATCCTATAGAATTATTTTATATTTTATTTTATTTTAGTTTATTTTATTTTATTTTATTATAACTATATCATTTTATTATATTGATATATTTTTATATTGATTACTTATTTTATATATATACATATACATCGATATATATATATATAATATTTCTACTGTTATTATCTGTCGTTTTTGTGGTTTTGTAATATTTTATATTTGTCATTCATATGATCATCAGACCTTTCCTGTCAATCTATTATAAAAAGATAATATTATTATCATATTCATTGAATATATTTTCTGTCTTTTGTCCTCCATTTGTCTATGCATATTACGTAAGTATTGTGATTTATTCAAAACAAACATCAAGGTTTTTCTGTTTTTGTTTGTATATTGTCTGTCTTTTATGTATTTTTCAATAATAATAACACTAATTTCACCTTCTGAAGCATCACCGTCATAATCATTACTTTTCGCAAAAAATAGATCCCATAATATCAACAATTTTTTTTAGATAGAAATCAGAAGTACTATCTACAGGAAATATGTTTCCGTACTCATCAGCACAGGTATGATAATTAGTAGAATGAAAGGAAAAATATTCTTCTATTTAGTTAATTACAATGCATCCCCATCAACACCAGCAGCATCAACATCATCATCAACAGCAGCAACAGCAACAGCAGCAGCAACAGCAACAGCAGCAGCAACAGCAGCAGCAGCAGCAACAACAACAACAGCAACAAACGATGTATGTTGCACCACCGCAAGCAAATGTGTTATTTTATCCATATAATCAACTACAATCAATGCAAGCTGCATATCCAAATCCAGGTCTTGCATCTATCAGATATATACAAGCGCCAAGAGAGCAACAAAAACAGAAATATCGAAGTGATCAATTAGTACCACGTTCATCACCACCAGTAACATCACCTATTCAACAACAAATTCAACGTTCAAGTCCAATTAATATGGCACCAATGTCATCACCAAATATGTGGATGAATAATACGACATTACAAAATCCAGCATTATTTCGACCTATTATTCGTACAATATCAAATGGAAAAATTGATGATAAAACTCATGTTCCTAATACAAATAATAATGTTGGAAATGTTACTGCTGCACCACCACTAGCTATGTCATTTGAATCTCCTAAATTATGTCGTCATCATCAACATCATTCAAAACGACAATCATCATCAGACAATCGTCAACAACGTCAACGACTTCATAGTGGTTCAAGTTGTTATGAATCTGATTCACCTCTTTCTAGTGAAAATGAAGATGCATCTGAGGTAAAATAACAAAAAAAAAGATTCCTATGGCGCTTTTTACTAACAAAAAAATATGAATTTATTCTTCATTTTTAACGAATCGATATGATTTCTTTTTATTATATCGACATTCGACGTTTATAATCAATGCTGTTCTCGATATTTATTATATATATACTAAATTTTCTTTTCTTAATTATCAGTCACGTCAAACAAATTCCAAGTCATTGGCATTGGTATCATTGTCAACAAAAAAACGACGGCATTCATTAGGTCGAGCCGAATTAACGAAAAGTAAACAAAGGTCAAAAGATAATCATCTCTTATTATTTAGTGTTAATTATGGAGGTTTTTCAACTATGAATCCAAGTTCTTTATCAAGTACAAATCATACATCGTTAACCAAATCTAATAATAGTTCACTTTCTCGTCCTAAACTTCTACAATATATTGAAGAAAATGTTATTGGAAAAGATTATATCTTTCAAGGACCATGGGGTTTAAGACGAAGTATGTTATTTTGTTTTTTTTAATTATATTATTTTTAATTAATTACTAAATATTTTTTCTTCAAGTGATCTATTGTGATTATACAGCATCGGGTCGACCATTATTATTTATTGAAAATTATATCAAAAATGCTGTATTACCTTTGTAGGATAAAACAAAATTTGTTTTCTTTTTATTTTCATTTCTTTCTTAGATATGGTAATACACATAGCGAAACCAGTTTATGTGCACAACAATCAACAAAATTTCGTGAAGAAGCTCGTCATATAATTAAAAAATCTGTTAATGCAAATGATGATGATGTTTTATTATTTACTGGTACTGGTTCAACAGGTGCTGTTCATACACTTGTTGATTATTTTGATCTTCAAGATGAAACAAATAAAAAAAAATACAGTCGTTATTATTAGTACATTTGAACATCATAGTAATATTTTACCATGGAAAGAAACAGGAGTTGAAGTATATTAAAAACAAAATTCCATTTCTATTTTATATTCTCTTAAATTAATTTATTTTCTTTTTCTTTTCTCTAATTAAGATGGTTCGAATAGCAACAACACAACAAGGTATACTTGATAAAGCAGTCTTAGAAGAAAAATTACAACATTTTTCGAAATTAAACAAACGTATTATCTGTTCATTGAATGCTGCTAGTAATATAAGTGGTATTTTAACTGATGTTGAAGCTATATCAACACTTGTTCATGAACATTCGGGTTTTGTTCTTTGGGATTATGCAACAGCTGCACCCTATGTTAAAATTGATATGAATTCATCACCAACAGCATATAAAGATGCAATATTTATTTCCACACATAAATTTGTTGGTGGACCGGGCACACCTGGTAAGTGTGAATACACAAAAAAATACAAAACAATTTTTATCAATTTCTAATTATTATTTGTTTGTTTGTTTAGGTTTATTAATTGCAAAAAAGAATTTATTTAGTTTAAAAGCTCCGAAATCATGTGGTGGTGGTACAGTTAATTTTGTAACACGTACATGTCATGAATATAATCATAATATTGAAATTCGTGAAGAAGGTGGTACACCAGATATAGTTGGTTGTATACGTGCTGGACTTGTTTTTCAATTAAAAGATTCGATTGATATGAACTATTTACTTTCACGTGAAGATGAACTTTGTAAACGCTTTTATCGACGTTTTAAAAAAAATGACACATTAATACTACTTGGTTCACAAACAGCTCCACGTTTACCAATATTTTCATTTCTTATATATGTACCAGGTGTATGCAAATATTTACATCATAATTTTGTTTGTCTCTTATTAAATGATCTATTTGGTATACAAGTTCGATCAGGTTGTGCATGTGCTGGACCTTATGCACTTGATTTATTAAATATTGATGATGTTAAAACAGATATTTATTGCAAGTTTATGACAGAAGATGCTTGGTAAATAACTTTTTTTAGTTTTT